ACATACATTTTCCAAAGTAAACAAATAAACTTGCACGTGGGAGCAGAAATGTACATAGATAGCTAGAGGGAGAGATTCTCCCATGTTAGAAAAAGAAGGGGGTCTTGATTTATATTACTCTAAAATGCCTATGGTGGTTAAAAGATGACATGTGGCCCAGCAGGTAAGCACAGAGCAAGTGAACAGGTAGAAATGGACGAACGTTCTCCCAATCACACATGTGAGGCCAACATCTTTCCTCCACTGCGCTGGTCCCATCCAGATTAGCTTTTCCCAGCAGCAGCTAAAGGCTGCCCTAGTTACAAGGAGCTGCACCAAAGTTAGGGAGTCTGTGCCCAGATAAATTTCTTTCTTATACAACTTCATTTCCCCTTGAAACATAAACCTGCCATTAGGCTTTCTTTCCCAGATACACAACGCCCCATCCTCCAAGATGATGTAGGCTAAACACTCTATGCCTGTGGTCTCACAGTCCTCCCCATAGATCCCGTGAATTAAGTGCTGAAAGCATCTCCAGTTTACAGAGGAGAAAACTGAGCTGCTGAAGGTTAAGTAATTTGCCCAGCTAATGAGTGGCACTCGGAGTCTGTGCCTCACTCCAGAGCCCATACTTGTCGCTCTGGAGCCACACTGCCCATCCATGCCCAGCTCCAGGGACTGCACATTGGCCCCAATCCCACACCCTCCTTCCTGGCGGAGGTCTCTGCAGTCTTGCCTTGCCTCAAGCCAGGCTCCTAGACAAGAGCAGGGGCTGCTCACTTTCACAGCTTAATCCCCTCATTTGCTCCAAGTCTAACCTGAGCAACACTCATGGGGACTTCTAGGAAGGAAACTAACTAAAGAAATAAACTGTTTCTTCCAGTTACGGCTTCATCCAAAGCAGAAGGGAGCTATTAAAGGCAGTGATAGGACTCGGCCGTTTGCAGCCACGCAACCTGCCCTGCCTGCAAACGCACAACTGCACCAGCTTGGCACCACTCAACTGCACAATCCATTGTGTACCTAATTAATGGAATGCAAAACCACAGCCCCATGCAATTCCACACCTCAAAGGATGATACCAACATACCTCCTTCACACAGATCACCACGCTCACCGTATGACTTCATTTGGATTTGTGGACAAGTTATGTAACTGTTCTATGCTTTAGCAATGCTTGGACAGTGATGCTTCGGGCCCAGAAGTAACTGGGTGAAGGCAAAGGACACTGGTTTTCAGCCTTACTGTAGATAGGGCAATACAGACATCTCTGTCCTCCAACCACATGAGCCAGGGCACACACGTATAGGGAATCAGTGTCCCTTCAAAGGGCCTAGGGAATTTAGCCCTAATATGGCCACCCATAACTGCAGCTAAGAAGAAGAAGTTAGCAGGGTACTAAATGGGGACTATACCTGCTCAGACTGATGGACAGCCTGTCTTCTGGGTGCTTCAGAACATAACTTCCTTATCTAACTGGCCTGTCTGCCTGTCTCATTCTGGGGGCTCCTGGACTCTTGGGAGGAAGGTCAAAGCTTCTTGACCAGCACTTTTGTCAGAGGGAAGTCTGGGTTTTTCCACACTCCCAAAGGCCATGGCATGGGAAGGAGTCTTAAACAGGCTCACGGTCACTGCCACTTTTCCCCCAGAGCCACAGCTGACTGGCCCTTTATGAATATCCCCACAGATATGATTGCTGTGGCTACTAATAATGCCGTCCATATTCCAAGTGCCAATGCCAATAATGTTCTGGGTATTATCACTGTGAACACCAATAACTACTGCTGAGATTGTCTCCAATAATGCCAGCACACACTGCAGCGATTGTCCTCGCTAATGCCCACCACCGTGACATTGTTAGAGCTGAAGAATAGGCCACACTGTACCCAGAGACAGGAGCAGGAGCAGCTTCCTGGAGGGCAGAGAGGCTCACTACTTGCCCTCGGGGTATGACACTTCTAGGGAGGTGCCACAGTGCTTGGGGCCAGAGAAGGGCCAGTCTGGCAGGGGCATCAAGGGTCCTCCTGGAGAGAGATGTGCCCTTCCACTCCCTTTAAGGTCTAGTCCTGCCATTTATCCTTGGTCCCATCCCAACACCTCTCAGTCCCCCAAGTCAGTTTTCTCTTTTGCCTGCAGTCTTGGCCCAATAGCTGAAGGACACACCTGGGTGTCTGCACGGCCCCTGCCCGAAGCTGCCTTCTGTGACTGGCCTGCCAGCTGCTTTGCTACCTTGGCCTGACTGCAGAGTTGGGCTACATCATCTTGACACATAATTATCTCCCCTATTCTTAATCATCTGAGCTGCTCCCTAATGCAAACTGGGCCTGGCTGCTTGGTGGCATCCAGTGGGGGATGGGAAGGAGGAGCAGCAACAGATCCACCTTTGCTCTCTCCTCTCCTCTCCTCTCCTCTCCTCCTCCCTCTCCTCTCCTCTCCTTCCTCTCCCTCTCCTCTCCTCTCCTCTCCTCTCCTCTCCCCTCCCCTCCCCTCCCTTCCCATCTGGGTCAGATGCAGCATACTGGGGAGGGGGCTGGGAGAACTAGTCTCCCTCATAGGCTCGGCCTCCACCAGGGAAAGGCCTGGGCTGGTCAAGAGGAGGGGGAGTCAGCACGAGAGAACCCCCCAAAAAGGGCAGGGCCTCTGATCTTTCCTGCTACCTGACTAGGCAAACAGACAAATGTTTCAGAGGACACTCAGAGGCTCCTTATCCCTCACCGTGAAGACTTCAACTGCTTCCTGCAATGCGGCCCTGCAGCCATCACTGTCACTGCTGGAGCATGAGCTTCCCAAACCCAGCCCTGCTCCTGCCCTTCCTGCTCAGACACCTTCAGTGGCTGCTCCTATCTTGGGGGGGATGGAGTCCAGACTCCTATATGGTCCAGTCCTGGCCTCTGTCCTGTGAGTCTCACCTCCTAACACTTCCCTGCCAAAGCTGCCCTGCAGCTGCTGGCCAAAGGCCTTCTGGTCACAAGGCTCAGGCTATCAGATAGAATTTCAGGCTACCATTGTCTTTGAACATTCTCCTCATTCATCCCTCAAGCCCCTCCTCAAAGAGCAGCCCTTCCTGGGGTGTCCTCCCTCGCCCTGGGTGGCCTGCAGCCCAGACCTCCATCACAGCACAACGGCTGAGGGCCTTTCTGCTCTCTGGGCTCATGTGTTCTACACGCCCCACTAAAATGTAAGCTCCTTAAGGACAAGAATCATATCTTGTTCTGCTTTGGGATCCTGTAGCACCAAGCTTTTCTTGCAACTGCTGTGCAGGAAAGGTTCACTGAACCGAATTGACTTGGAACAATGAATGTGATCAACTGCTCAGAGAGGAGAGCTCTCTGTTCTGGGCCAGCCAGGCCCAGCCCTGGGTGGCCACAGCCTGGTGCCAGTGCCTCCCTGCCCCGGGCCCCCCTCCATGCCCCACAGGAGCCCGGGCATCAGAAGGCATGCTCAGCCACAACCTCTGACTGACAGGGGAGAGCACAGAGGGGGACCTGTGGCCTCCCTCAGCTCCCCGGACAGCGCACATTCTAAAAAGCACAGGTGCTGCTGGTTAAAGAAGAAACCTTCCGGGTTTGGAGAAGATTCTACCAAAGCACGCAGGGTGCCAGGGAGCTTGGCTGAAGCCTGCGTGTGGGAAGCCCCAGGGAGACCTGGGACTCAGGGCCTTTCCTGCAGCCTCCCCCTGCCCATCAGGGGCTGCCGCCAAAACAACCACAATGAAATTTAGTGAGTGGCAAAGGCCGTGGCAGCCAAATGGGTTTGGATATTTTGGAAGAAGGAGAAATAGAGCCAGACAAGCTGTTTCCCTGTGAAACGAGGCCATTAGGGCTCCTGGAAGGAGGCCAGCACCAGGTCATCACTGTCTTGCCAGGCCTAGGCCTCTCCTCCACTCCGGCCCCTCCGCTGGAGGCTGGGGCTCTCACACTCTCTTCCCTCTGCCTGGGTCTGGGGACGCTCAGCTGTGTCCCTTTTCTCTGTTCTTACTCCACTAAGCTTCCCCCACCAAGGGATTGTCTATGCTTGGGATGGCCGTATAATTTATTGTCCAAACAGGACATTTTTGAGAGAAAAAGGAGATGCTGACTGGCCAAGATGCAGTGACAACAGGCATAAATATGGACTGACCCGGCTAAGGGCATGTGTGGGCGCCCTCGTGCTCGCTGTTTGAGGATTCTATTTCATGGGAGATACCTTTAAAGTCCTACACCCTCCTAGGGCCAGGAGACCACTATTTCCCCAGCAGGGACCACGAGAGAATCGAGGAGGGAAGCAGGCCTGCGACACTGGTGTCTGCTACTCTGAGTCTGCCAGCCCTGTGCCCTGGCCTCATGCAGAAGAGAACCAGGTGGTCACCAAGGGAACCCCAATGTCACAATATCTGAAAACCACCTGTTCCAAGCTCATCCCTACCACCCTCTCCCCTTATTTCCTTTCTTCTCTCCTCCTCCTCCTCTTTATTTCCCATTCTCTCAGCTCCCTGCCCGACAGCCTGGCTGCACCTCAAGGAGTTCCGGGGAGCAGGGAGGGGACCAGGGGAGCCCGAAGGGCATCTGCACTCTCAGAGAAGAACAGAGAGAGGCCCCAGGAAGCAGTGTCCATGTGCTACAGAGAAAGGACACAAGGGTTTGTTGAACGTGACATCGTTCCCCCACCTCCTGATGGGCTGGGATCAGGTGAGGACGAGGTAGGTTGGCCTTTCATCCTCAGATCAGAGACCAGCTGTCTCCAGGCTCCAAAAGCTTCCCAAGGTAAGCGGCCCATGCTTCTCCTCCCAGCATCCCACAGGGAGATGGGGTGAGTCCCAGGGAAGGCGAGGCAGCGGGTGGCTGAGCAGATGGTGAAGCCGATGGCCCCACCAGCAGCCTTCCTCCCTCTCTCCAGGAGCCAGCAGGGCAGTGGGGGGACCTGGGCTTTGCCACTAAAACTGATCTCACGGCAGAGCAGCTGCAAGGCCAGGCCGAAACCGGAGCTCTGGGTCCAAGGACAAAGCATGCAAAGAGGAGGCCAAACCTCTCCCTCCTCCCTACCTTCATCACGTTTCCTCTTCTCGCCATTGGAGCGAGGAATCCCCAGGATCCCATTGATGGAGTAGGACCCCACTGGGTCATTGGAGGCGCTGGAGACAGGAGGGGAGGCCGTGCTGGGAACTGGGCGAGAGTAAGGAGGAAATGCCGTCAGGATAGCACTTGTGATCACAGGCCAAAGCCCCAAGGCTGGGGGCAGAGAGAAGAAGAGGACACAGGAGGGATGAGGAGCCCACACTGCCCTTCTTCCTCTGACGCTTAAGGGGGAAACATGTTGCCCCATACAGTTCAGGCTATTGTTCGCTCCTGTGCAGCCCTGGGGTGAGTGGTGGCCAGTCAACTCTAGGCCTTGTCTGCAGACCTGTGGGTTTCACCAGGGCCCTTAAGCTCACTCCCCTGTAGACAGAGGGAGTGCAGGCCCAGGAAACACCAGAGGTGACTCTCTCGAGAAAGCAGCCCGGTGGTCCTCTGGAGAGCACAGCTCCTGGATGCCTCCTTGCACAGCTCAACCAGGCTCCAGGGCTGCGCAAATCCTGCTAATCAAACCCTAGCTCATTGTTCCTTGGTCTCCTGGGCTGAGTCCTTGCCAATCCTGATTTAGAGTCCGTGACTTTCTAAGATCTGCCTCTGATTCTCCAGGAGACACAAGGCTGGTCCTGATGTTCCGCAGGAGTGTGCAGTTCTCTCTCCCAGTTGCTTCTTGTCTTGAAATAACTTGAGAAGTTCCTAATTTTCCCCTTAGGACACAGACTAGTGAACTCATTCACTCCACGGTGATCAACTCAGGTACAGCCTGGCCCAACCCTCCCTCCCAGCACACGCTGTAACGCAGGCCTAGTAAACAACAACTCCTGCCAACTCCAGGAGGGCTGGGACCAGTCATTTCTACTTCTTGCTGGTCAAGAGAGAAGGGGACAGCTGCCAAGAGGGGCAGCAGGAAAAATGTAACTGCATCCCAGCCCCTCATCCCCCAGGCCTCCTGTATGGCTAAAGCAGCACCAAGTTTTCCATGAGCCAAAGGGAAGACAGCCTGTGTGTGTTGGGGGCACAGGGCGGGTGTCAGCAGATGCTCCTGTAGGTCAGGCCCATGTCTACCAGAGTTCCTGTGCATGGGTCAATAAATAAGGACTATAGAGAGGGGCAGAGAACGACAGAGTGGATGAGACAGACAGAGAGATCAAGAGTGACAGGCCAGAGAGAGAAGAGGCCATGAGGAAGGAGGGGGGAGACAGAGGAACGGACCTAGAGCTGCACATAAGGAGAGGAGAGAAAAGGAAAGGCAGAGAGAGGAAGAGGAGGACAGGAGGGGAGAGAGAAAAGACAATTTTAAAAAATAAACAAAGATGGAGTAAGAAAGTTGATGTGAAAGAAAGAGGGTGCACAGAGGAGACGGAATCAGATAAAACAAAGGATGATGGAGAAGGAGGAAGAAGGAAGGAGAAGAAAAAGAAGAAATGCTGGCCGGGCGCGGTGGCTCACGCCTGTAATGCTAGCACTCTGGGAGGCCGAGGCGGGCGGATTGCTCAAGGTCAGGAGTTCGAAACCAGCCTGAGCAAGAGTGAGACCCCGTCTCTACTATAAATAGAAAGAAATTAATTGGCCAACTAATATATATATAGAAAAAACTAGCCGGGCATGGTGGCGCATGCCTGTAGTCCCAGCTACTCAGGAGGCTGAGGCAGTAGGATCACTTGAACCCAGGAGTTTGAGGTTGCTGTGAGCTAGGCTGATGCCATGGCACTCATTCTAGCCTGGGCAAAGTGAGACACTGTCTCAAAAAAAAAAAGAAGAAATGCTAAAGGAAACATGGATTGGGAGAGGGATGGGGAGACAGAAGGAAGGGGAGGAGAGGGAGAGGGAGGGAGGAATGGGGAGAGGTTGACTATCGCAGTGCAGAGGTGAGGTGACATGGGTGGGAGGCAGACAAAAAGCCTATTGAACTAGTCTCCCTCAGGGACACGCTGAGCTGACAGGAGCTCAGGGAAAAAGGGACTAGGAAACTGGGTGGGCCTCGGACCCCTTTAGGGTGGGCAGGTCCCAGGGGTGAAGTTATGTTTCCTGGCTTTCCCTAGGTGGGACCCACTTCCTCCCACCTGCCCTGAGCCCTCTTACCGATGGTGTGGCCGGGGGCAGTCACTCCTGTCCCAGCCCCATCCGGCGTTGGGTGGAAAGGCTGCTGAACTTTGGTCCGGATGATTCTGCAACAGCATCACAACAGCATCACACGTCACGCGCCGCTCCTGCCCGGCTAATGCCAGCCCGGCCGCCGTGGAGGAGCTGTCTCTCTCCCAGGCTCCTAGCCTCTTTCCTCGTCCATCTGCTCCCCGAACCCCTGCCCTCGCAGACTCCTGTTGGCTCTGCCGATCCAACCCAGCACAGCCCTGGGTGGAGGAAGTCTGTGTTCCTTCCTGCTGTGAGAATTCATCCAAACCTCAGCGAGATTTTTGGTAGTGAGGATCGGGGCAGCAGAGCCAGTGGAGCCTAGCATGCTCTCTCTTTCTGGGCCTGGGGACTGCCCTGGTGGCTTGTTGTCCACCTTCCCTCCTCAACCACGCAGGCATCTCCTCCAGGTACCAAGACTTCCTGGGTTTGAGATCATTTTGGAGCTGGCTTTCCTACTGGGGCTGTGTCACAGTCCTCCAGAGTCCGGGGGTGGGGTGGGTGAGATTTCCCTATATCCTGAACTAATGGGAAGTAGCCAGGGCTGGGTCACAGGTAACCCTTTTGTCCCCAGGATGCCAACATAGCACAAGGTCCCTTTGCCAGATGTCAGGCCCTGAATAACCTCTTCTTCAGCCCATTTACTGCCCTCAGACAAGTCACAGGCCCGTCCCCATCCAGCTGGCTGGCTTAGGGCCTCCTTTTCTGAGGGTCTTACTTGGATCACAGCATCTTTGCCAGCCTAATTGAAAAGTCTGGGGCTCTCCCTGTATGCCCTGGGAGGAGGGGACCAAATCAAACATTCCAGGGCTGAGATAAGTCTGCTTTTCTATGACCTGAAAAGCTGGGGGCTCAGTGACACAAAAGACCAACACTGAGGCCAGGACTAAGGGAAGCTCCCCTCCACCCACTGTCCAAATGAGAGGCCTTCAGAAGCAACTTTTCTGACAATGCTGCTCCTCCCACAGAGGGGTGTGTGAATCATATTCACCTCAGCCAGCCAGGTAGCCACAAGCCACAACCCACTTGGCTCTAGCCAATGTTCATTGAGCACCTGCGGCAACAGGGACACAGCTGCTACCTCCTAGGGCAGTGAACACTTATACCCAGAGAAAGCCAAGTCACCCGGGGGGGATCAGGTGGTTAGTGCCAAAAGGATGCAGGGAGGAGACATCCCCCTTGCAGGCAGGGGGACTGGGAAGAAGTCGCTGAGGGGTGGAACTTGATGTTGATCTTTAAAGCAGAGAGGGGCTGATGTCAGAGGCACTGGGCCACACAGCAGGGGCCCTAAGTCCCGGTTCTGGCTCTGTCATTAAGAGGCCACATAGCCTTGGGCTCACCCCTCATCTTTTCTGGGCCTCAGCTTCTTCAGCTGTAAAATAAAGGGGCTGCACTACAGGATCCCCGGGGTCTCTTTCCCCAGTAAAAAATAGCATGGTCCCAAGGTGGACAAAGAAACGCAGGGGAGGGCATTACACGCAGGTGCCAGAGGAGGGTGGAAGCACAGCCAGGAAGCCCAGAGAGCACATGTCACAGGGGTTAGTGCCTAGACCAGCCAGGCAGCCACAGCGGAGGCATGTGAGGGAGTAGAAGGAAAGAAGCTGCAGGCTCAGATGTGATGATGATAATCGCTACTGTCCACTTACTGAACATCTACTCTGTGCCGATGTTAGACACCACTCACGCTGCTTATATGTACTGCTGTTCATTCTCACAACTTCAGTAATACTATTATCCTCATTTTGCAGATTGCAAACTAAAGCTAATGGAAGTTAAGTACCACACTTAAGATCATACCACCCATTGGGGCAAAGTCAGAATTCAGTCTCCAAATTCTGTTTTTTGTTATTTTATCATCCTTCTCCCAACTTGTCAGAACCAGGTTTACAGGGTCTCAAGCCATGAGGAATGTCTAAACTAGAGAGGACACGTGCACACTGATCCTAGTAAAGCAACTCATGGGCATGAGGCAACGTGGAGCTGGTCTCAGGAAAGGGCTAAAGGCCAGGATTTGCTGACTAGCTAGGGTCAACCATGGCTCTAAAACTCCAGTTTTGTGTAACTGGAAGCTGGGTGGTGTGTCTCACTGTTGGGAATATGCCTGCAGGGAGGTGGCTGGTTTTGGGGGGAAGTGGCAGCATTGGTCCTGGACATGCCGCATTTGAGATGGCCAGGGAGTGTCCAGGTGGACGTGCCCATGCATCAGCTGGCACAGCAGACGTGGATTCAGGGGACCGTCAAGGAAAGCAGTGTTGGAAGGGATGAGAGACCTAAGGAGTGGACACTGGGGGACATGAACCTGACCTTGCAGAGGAGTCAGAGACTTGGCCATGCAGGAAATGGCAGAACCAGGATTGGGTGTTTTCACCTAAGTCAATGGACAAGAATATTCAAGAGAAACATAACCCATGGTGCCAACAGTGAAATGAAGACTGAAGGAAATTGGGAACAAGAAGAGGCACAAATTTGGGATTTGGATGGCCTTCGGTGACACTGGGGAAAGCAGTCTCAGCGAAGTGACTGCAGTAGGAGCCAGACGGGATGAGGTTGGGGAGTGAACAGGGAGGAAAGAGAGCAGGGTGCAGTGAGAGTAGGCTTAGACTATTGCCTTCAGAAGTTTGTAGAACAGGAAAGGAGAGAAAGTGTGGAAGTTGGAGAATGGAACTGTCAGCTGCGTGGAGGGAAGGCTTTCTAGGGCAAGAAAGACCCAGATGAATTTGTAGGCTGAGGAGGAAGAACCAGTGAAGAAGGAAAGACCAGGAAAGTCGCCTGAGGGACCGTGGGTAAGACAGCAAGACAGAAGAAGAATGGTCTGGAGGGTAGAGGGGAGGTCTTAGCCCGAGATGCCATATTTTTCAGGTGGCCAAAAGCTTTGAAAAGGAGCTTATACAACTTTTATCTCTCAGCAAAGCAGAAGGTAAGGTCATCTCTCAAAAGTTAGGGGGAAGATTTGGAGCACTGTCACATGGAAAAGACAATAGCTGAGGACAGTGTAGACTTGTCTACAAGAAAAGTCTAGAAAGATGAGGAGCAGCTCAGAGAAGCTGCTCCTAATTCACTGCAGCAAAAACTTCTAAGGTCTCACTGGGCCTGTGGGTGACTCTGGCTTGAGGGCGGATGGGTTATGGACTAAGGGAACTGTAGGGCTAGGGCTAGGTGAGACAGATAACTGGACGGGCTGGAGGGGTTTCTGTCTTTGTTACCCAGAGCCTCTGACCCTAGGGGCACTGGTGTAGATTTAGCTGAGGCAGCGAGTGATGGAAAATCACTACTCCCTGACAGCAGCTTGGTGGTGTGGGGGGGGAGGAGCTGGGCAGGGTGCCTGCTGCAAGTCACTAAGGCTCTTGGTGTCCATCCATGACCCCAGGCAGTGGGCACTTGCCAGGCCCCACAGCTGATCTCAGGAAATTTAAAAACTGGGATTGTGGTAACCTGATGGTCATCCGCAGCTCTCTTGCATCTCATACAATGACCCAGCAACTCATGGGACTCTTACCAGGGGTTAAAGGATGATGCTAAGCAGCTGTTTAGGATGACTGCCTGATACTATTTCCTCATGCTCCCCCTCCTCCTTCTCCAGTTCTTTTTCATTCTTGGCCTCACAGGGGACAGACAGACATGCCTGTGTCCCCCATGGCCTTAGGTATGTTTGGCCTAGATGCTCAAGTCCCCAGATTTGGGTCCTTGCAGGGTGTGGGTGGGACCCTGAAGGGCACAGCTCTACTCGGAGCTGGGAGGTGTAATTTCCCATTTCCACGGAGAGATTGCCTCGCCAGGGTGCCCACTCCCCACTTCTGTTTCCAGCACTCATTCCTTCACAGGATGCACTTCCTCCTCCACCATCTCAGATGAGAGCTCACCCTTTCCTGAGGACCTCCGGGACTTTGGCCATGGGGCCTTCCAGGCACTTAGAGTCTCTAACACTCACAAGGAAGTAAGTACAGCAACGGGAAGAACGGTGTGGGCTCTGGGCTCAGCTTGCCTCAGTCTGATTCCCAGCTTTGTTACTTATTACCTGGGAAGCCCTTGGCAGTCTCTTATTCCCTCATCTGTGAAACAAGAGAATACTACCATGCACTTCACAGGACAGTGAGGGGGGATTAAATAGGACAATCCATGTAAAGTGATTAGTATGATGGTTGGCTCAATAATAATAATGATGACTCCCTAGTATTATTATTCCGAGGGGTGACACCTAGGCCTAGCTGCTTTCAAGTTAGAGCCAGGTGCAGGCAAGAGGCCTCCCCGCCCAGTATGCCCCAGCCTGGTCAGTGCAGGTGCTACCGAGACCCTGGCACGAGCTCCGAGAAGACAAGCAGCCGCAGCAGCAGCAGCAGCAGCAGGGGTCACAGTCTGACCCAAAAAGAAGTTGCATCAGACTCTCGGGAAGACACACTGGGAGCTAGACAAAGTCCTGGATTGGGCACTAGAAAGGATCCACAGAGGACCCCAAAGACTTCAGGGTGTGTGGGAGGGCTTTGGAGGAAAGGATGATGAGGCAGGTGGTGAGGTCACTCCCTTGTTGGTTAAATCCCCAGGAGGCCTTCACTTCCCGATAACTTGGAGATCTAAACAGTCTCGTGGGCTCTGTGAGTTAGAATAAAAGCCCCGCATGCGTCTTCCATTAACAGTTTGTTAGACTCGTGAAGAAAGAGAAGCTCTCAACCTTCTAGGAAAGCACTAGGGCCCCTTACTCCTCTCTAGTCCTGCTCTCCCCTTCTTCCTCCTTCTCTCATTCCTTCCTCCATGTGTCATTCTCTGTCTCTCTCTCCCCTCTCTGTCTTTCTCTGTCCCTCTCTCCATCTCCCCTCTCTTTGTCTGTCGGTCTGTCTCCTGGCACCCTGAAGTCCCACTGTGGCTATGTGAGTTTATCGATTCCTGGGAGCTGGGGGAAAGCGGGAGGCAGGGCTGGGGTGCAGGCTCAGGGATGGAAATAGAAGGCTATAAATTATTTGTGACAGGAAAGCAATAGTGGCAGAGTGCTGAGCACAAGTCCTGTGTCACTATTAGATTCCTTTTAGCCTGATGACACTGTAAA